CAGTATTTTCAATGTATCTAAATCGTTAAATTTTAAGAAAACAAACCTAAAACCACAGTGCAAATGAGATTTTCAGTGGTTCTGCGAACATCCTATCATGATTGCTTTCATTATTCTCTGAAGAGGGCGCTTGGATGGAAAATGCCATAGAAGGCACCAAGAAAACTACAATAAATTACAGCATCTGTTCATGCATGCTTACGTCCAGGTGAGTAAGATATCCCAGTTGGGAAGAAGGCCAGATCAGTGTCCTGGTTCTTATTGCTAGATCGTGTGTTGTCTGTGAGTGTCATCAAACTGCAATACGCACACATGTGCCAGGAAAGTATGTTGGGGACATGAACAAGTAACTCCCAGCGAAATTTTACCCGATCGTTTAGACCATGGGAACATGGAGTTGCAGAGTACTTGAAACAGTGTCTGATCAAGTGCTCACAGGCACCCACACAGCCACTGCGGTGGGGACACTGGGAACAGCTGTTGTCCCATCCAATTACTGGTAGGGGTCTGGGGTTAAGCATCCTCTATGTCAAGTGAAGAAACAGAACAACTCAAGTATAGAGACTAAATAATCCATTTCACCTACAGAGTCTAACTGGTACCAGGGCCACTGCTACTCAGCGTTACACCTTCCTGTTCTGGTGCTCTGGCTGCAAGCACAGTCCTTGCAGGGCAAAAGGCTCCTGAGAGGCTTTACTGTTTCAGCAAGACACATGTGAAGAAAAAGGCTTCATCAAGAGGTATCATTTAAGCATATTTTAAGAGGTGTCCTTCCCACTAGTTCTTCTAAAGCATAGCCTTATCGATCCTCGTTCAGAACAGCACATACCTATGCAATGGATTTTTCCGACTGCCAAACCACAGTGCAGTCTGCCACACTCCATGAGCTAGTTGCCCAGGAGTGGGTATCCAGCCAGTCTGTGTTCTTAAGAGCTCACCCTTCCACATTTCTTTCTTTATACAGCTAAATATTGTAACTGCATTTTAAGCCTAAATAGTCTGGTGGTACCCCCTAAACTAGTTAGTGAACTTTAAATACCAGCTATACTTTTATCTAACACATTGATTATGTTTTCAGGTGAGTTGTGATGTTTGCCATCCTACTACAAAGTACTTTTCCCTTTGACATTAGCTAGGATTATACTTTATATATTTTTGCCTTTCTCTAAATACAAACTTCATATTAATTTCTTAACCTCTTTGTTTATGTATTTTATCGAATTTTTGAAGATTGGATTAATTTTCAGCATTTGATTTGTTACAGTGACTTCGAGCTGGTTGCCCAACTTAGCCATGGCTGCTACCCTTGGATGATGGCCTGACTGTTAATTATTTCCCTGCTGAAACTGCATTACCACAAAACAAATTTTGTTATAATGACATTAAGTAAAGACCATAGAAACCTGCCCAGCATTAGAAATTCTTTCTTGGCAGCTGTTTTATACTTTTTCCTCACATCATATAAATCAAGAATGAGGTATCGTTTATTATGTTACCAGCTCATGAATAAATAGGCCTTCTATTTTCTTTGATGTAAATATAGCCAGATCAGCACTGAAGTAATTATCAAATCACAGACATTATGCTGCAATCTTTATAAATTCAATCTCCCAGATAACATGTTTAAGCACAAAAAGGTTGAATTATACAGAGCTAAGGTTCACAGTGTCACTATCTTTGGTTTACAGGGTGTAACAGTTCTTACCTCCTTATCCCCAGATGAGCCTTGATGTGTTAAAAAGGTTTAATAAAATACTTACTACTCACTTTTACAAATATGGAATTTTTAGCCACAGAATCATTTCTAAGCCAGTCAAGACTGGAATGAAGGATCATGAGGTGAAAGGGCGGAGCAAGCATAAAATATATCTAATTAAGAATGAACCAGTTGGTTCACTGTTAGCATAACTGAAGGGTCTACAACATGCATTTTGGTTGCTTAAATCACAACCATGCAATTATGCTAATATATGGTAATGTCACTGCCCTTGAAAAAATTGCTTTCCTCTGTTAATTTGGGAATAATATCAATTATGAAGTCATATGGTTTGGTTTAGCTGTTGGTGATGTCGTTGTGTTGCTGAACAACACAAAAAGGATGAATTCCTTTATAGTTCCACCGTTCCAAAGACTGGTCCCTCAGGGCAGCCCCTTTCCCTTTAAGCTATATACATGTGGAAAATAAAACACAATTTTTTCCAGCAGAATATTTTTAAAGAAATAACTGCAAAGGTGTTGATTTACCACCGAGAATGTAAACAGTTGGAGTTGGAGACAGCCATCTATACCCTGTACTCTGTTACGTTAATCCAATTCCATTTTAGCTAAGGGTAGCCTTATGTTCATTATCCCTCAAGAAGGTAAGGCTTGCTTGCCAAATATGTGCCTTTGCAGTATTTATTATGCTTCTAAATATTTCTTCATAGCTTCCTGTTGCACAGTCCCAATGCATTTTTTTAAAGGATCATATTATTTATTTTGTTTAACCTTATCTTTGGTTTGAAATTTGACAAACCTCTCACTGCAATTTAATGATGAACAATAAAAGAAGCAACAGGGTAAAACAGTTATGGCAAATGTCTTTGACTACTTCAAATTTTTTTTTTTTCTCAATTACAGACCAGTAAAGTCAGTGGGTTTTATAAATTAGAACTCAAAAAGGCCATCATTGTAGGTAATGGAATGTCTGAATTTTTGCATTCTTGTTTTAAATAGGGATCTTATTACCTGCTCCTGCACGACCTACAGCCTACCTTTTTCCTTTATCTTTGCCTAAGATGGCTTGTCTGGCAGTCTCAAATTTTAATTCCACCCCAGAGCAGAGACACTGCTTTGCACATGTTTTTGTGCAGCATACACAACTCTGGTGCCAGGTGTGAGACTTTCCAACTACTCCGGACTATAGCCTGGTATAAAACCTGCAGTCCCAGCCACATCCAGAGCTCCACTGTGCTTGGCGCTGTACAAACAGAGAGAGAAGACCATAAATTTACAACCTCAGCCACTAGAGCAGACAAGTGCCAATGGAACCAAAGTTCAAAGAGTGAAATAACAAGTAAGGAGTAAGGAAGATAGGAAGGTATTCAATAGTAGTGCCAGCCAGCCCGGTCTCCTTTCACCAGGCTGCATTGCCTACCTAAAAATGTCATTCAGAAGATTCTTTATAGTACTTCTCTGATGTCAAAAGAAAAAATATGCATGAAACTAAACCACTTAAAGATGACCCATCCCTCAAGGGCTATGTTTGTTACAAAATAACTTGTAAGAGCTAGGATTGCTTAGTTCCTTCATGTACGTAGCCCTGGGAAAGTATATATACTATTGTTTGATCTAATAATGACATTGAGATACTGTAAGTATCTGGAGTTATAAATGTTCCCATTTCATGCAGCAAATTCTACTTTCTTCTTCAATTTAACAGAAGTAAAAACCCAGCTGTAACAGGGCAGAGAACACTGATGTTCATAACAGCAGAAAAACATTTCTCCCAGCTGATGCTTCTCAGTGATGAGTTATCAAAATATTTCTACCTGGCTCCTATTATTGTGTGTGTATAAGTTTGGCTTCTTGGGCCCACTTTAAAATAACCGTTACTGTTTATCTGTTTCTAATTCTTTCTGTAGGAGTTGTTCTCTAAATTTTGTATCACTCATGACTAACGTAGCAAGGAAAAATACAAGTATATAAACAAGTGACTGTCTTCATCCTTTCATCCAAATCGCATCAAGAGGCTAGTCTGTGGAAAGAGCTAATGATCCAATCAGCATAAGAACATACTACAAATTGGAATTCTAATATATAATCTCTAGATGCAGATTTATCATGTAATTATACAGATGAAGAAATGGAGTATTTTTATACGATTGCTTTTTCTGTTGCTGTAGTCTCTTACAATGATCTTTCTAGCATTTAAATTCCTAGTTACCTTCAACAGACTTTGAATGAATGTTACTCAACAGGGTGGCTTTCAATGAGGAAGGCAGGAAGGTGTCAATAAGGAAAAAATGTATGCTACAAATAGGTACAAAGGGACTGCAAGCCATGGGATCTCTTTGCATTCTTTGTTAACATGATGTTGGCAAGTTGTTTTCATGCAGGTCATCAGCTAATGCAATCTATATATAATATAGTCCCCCAGCAGTTCAACAGACAAGCAAACTGAAATGACAATAAGCAATGAATCAACAATCCCTTGCTGAAATTATAATAAATAATAAATTAACAACTCAACCCCTTGCTAGCTTGAATCTGTGGCTCCTGCATCATTTGAATTCCTGCCCTACAAATGAAGCATTGGACTGCTTCTAATGCCAATAAAATCAGAATTATGAAATAGCCAGTACAGCATGGCTATAAATATTTAGTTGTATACTTTTCTATTTGTGCCATGTTACGCACTGTTCAGTCCCAAGAGCCCTCAAAGAGAAATGTAGTTAGCTGTGAAACAATAACCAAACCCACAAGTACTTACATTACATATATTACAAGTTGCATCTGATGGAAAGGACTGTCTGTTGGGGATGCCTGGGAAGGCTTTTATGAGTGGGGTTTCAAATATATCTCAACAGAAAGGTAAAACTTAAGTAAGTTATACTCTCTGTGTCTTATGCCATCCTCCTTCTCCTCTCAACACTTGATTTTGAGAGGCACATGGTAGCAAAAGCTCACAATTTTTTACTTTAAACTCAGTCAAAACAAGGTAACTCTGCACATTTGCATGAGCGCCCAACAGCCAGCCAGCAGCACTGACACACTCCCTCTGCTCTCTGCATTGGACTAGGAGAAGAAACCCCTTATTTTGTCTTTGGAGGTACCAGAGGTGCCATAGCATCCACACATCTTTGCTGTGGTTTTTTTTTGAGATTTCCTCCTCAACATTCCATCAAAACTGACACAGCATAGCAGACAAGAAATGAGCTGTTATCATTAAAGTGACTGGTCCCATCTCTATATAAAAATATCAGTTATGTCCCTTTTTGCCACTCATGAAATTGGGAGCCAAAGACATATAACAAAATGGGCTGCTGGAATTGTCATTATGTTTTTATTTAATAGAGAACTTTTCTCATCCATTTTCTAAACAGCCAGTGTTATTTCAAAAAACCAGAAGCAAAGTCATGATCAAAACCATACATATAGAATAACTTAAATAAACATTTTTCCTTTTGAAGATGATTGAAGTATAAGATAAATAAAACTTAAATTACTCTGGACACTGTCCATAAACAGTTCATATCTAATAGTTTCTCCATTAAGTATTCAGATTATATCTATCTATCTATCTATCTATCTATCTATCTATCTATCTATCTATCTATCTATCTATCTATCTATCTATCTATCTATCTATCTATCTATATATCAATCAGCTAAACTACTCTGGCACTTACTGGGTCTTCAGAGGAACAAGTTGGCTGGAAAAAAATGAGATTTTACTGAAGAATAATCCTATAGAAATTAGGTTTCTTAATGCTTATGCATCCTTAATCCTCTGTTCCTTAGGAAATGCTTTCTCTCCCTTCTCTCTTGGACTTAACCTACAGCAAATTGGTTTTACCTGAACAGTGCTGGAAGCTACTGGTGCCACTGCTTAGTTTAGCTAAAGGACTAAGCAGCACTGGAAAACATTAGGGATCATTCACGAAGTCAACATTAGCCTACTGAGGCTCAGCTCCTGAGAAACCCTCCTCAGAGTTGCTCTTTGCTCCTAGAGAGGAATGTATTCACTTCATTCACCCCAGAGATAGCCCAGCATTAGCCTCAATCGGCCAAATCTAGCATCTGTGAACATCCACACACTGCTTGCACAAGGAAAGACTTTTGCTATAGTGAAGAAATGAATCCAGGTCAACAACACAGAGACTGCGGTGTCAATCTCGTGCCCAGGCTTATCATGCAGTTCCTATAGGTCCTGTTTTAGCCCAGTGGTTACTGCTTAGATTGACCTGGCACCTGGGGAGCCTACTGTACAGCACTGCATGGACCAGAAAAGCAAAATGTATCTTAGACTTAGAGATCTCACAGCCTAGGATAATGTAATAAATAGTAGCCCTTCCCTGCAACAGAGTAAGACTGCAGTAAGAGGAGATGTTTCCCCTCTTCACACCACATCCCCACATAACCCCAATGTCATAAAAGAATATAGCTGTAACTCATAATATTTAACATTAACTATATAGGCAAAGAGAGCAAATTTTAGTTCACTGCATTAGACATTAGCTTTTTGTTTAAGAGACTGAGCTGAAAAAAAAGTTTCCTTCTGGTCTTTTTCATTAATACCAATTGTCTACAAAATCACTAGAAAACACTTCAGTAATGTACATGCCACCTAAAATAACTGAGAAGCTTGATAATGATCAGCTCCATCCTAATCTGAACCTTAATCCAGTCAACCTTTGTATCTGTTTTTCTGAGAATGCCTTCTCCTTCTTGTCACTGAAATATTGCCAACTCTAACTATTTCATCTCACAATTTATTTAGTGTCTATCCTAAAACCGCAGTTCCCGTAGGCAAGTAGTTAAAAAGAAAATCTTAGTTTCACTTTGCAGAGTTTCTAGGTCTCATACTTGCAGCAAAAGGCTTGAAAACATGAATCATGTCAGCTTAAAGAAAGCAAATAAAAAACCTCAAAGGCACTTTTTAAACAAAATTCTCATGACTTTTATGACAAGTTTATAATCTGAAGAGGACAGGCAGATGTCTGATTCATGATTTCTAAGTCCTCAGGGTCCAAATTTAAGGTTTCCTCTTCACCCTTAATTTCCTCTTCTGCTTTCCTATTCTTGTATTTTGCACGAGGAATGAAGACGCCCAAATTTCTGGTAGAAATCATCTTCAGCACGATTCAGAGCTTCCTCGTCTATGTAGACAGCTGGTCTCCGGGAAGCCAAAAAGTACTGCACTTTCCGCAGGCTCCATCCCATCACGTACTTCAGCCAGCCACTGACAGCAGCCGTAGACCTGCCAACACCAGCGTTGCAATGAACATAGACAGTGTGTCCATTCTCCAGTAGCCCATGCAAGAGGCAGACAGCTTGTGGCAACATCTGTATTCTTCCTAAGGTTAAAAACAAGGCACACTCATTTGCATTTGAGGAAGCTAGGCTCACGGTTGAGATTATGTCTGTACAGCTTGATGAATTGTGAATCAATATGTCAAACCTGACATATCTGGAGTTTTTTCTTTTTTTTTTTTTTTTTTTTTTTTATTTTCAAATTACCTTCTACCCTAACTTTGTCTTTCCTTGCCACATAGATTTGGATCACAGAGAATCTGTAAAATATCCCAAGTCTTCTCTAAATATACATTCTGATTAACATTGGATGTGTGTGGCATATTTGTTTTCACAGGGACTGAGACAAGACAGCAAATTATATCAAACAGCACATCTTACACAGTATTAAAGTTATTAAGCCAAAACCAAAATGTTTTCTAGTAACACATGTTTGTGAAGACACCTACATACTGCTGCTTTCCAAAACATTTTGAAGGCCATTATGTCAATAATAAGAAAGGGAGGAAGAGCAGAAGAATATTTTTCTGTATAACTTAATACTGCTAGACTTTAATTGTGTATTAAGCATATGGTTAAACAACACAGAATAGCCTTTCTCACTCTCAAAGGGATGCATATATCATATTTCCTGATGCATTTCTCCCTGTTATCCCAGGAACTGAAGCTGCAAACAGCAGAGCCTAACTTTTCCTCACGGCACAGATGAGCACTGGCATTAAGCCCTTTCAAATCCACATTTTAAGGTCTCCTGTCTTCCCGGATGTCCTGTTACTGACATGACAGTTCTCTATTTGTGGCAGCAGTACTTCACTCCAGTGAAAGCATTTATTTTCAGCTGGTAGGCTACTCACTTGAAAACACACACACTTGCTAACCTACTGGTTGGAAACAAGATTTTGAACTGAACATTCCATTGGAGGAATTAAAAATAATAATAATTCATGTTACCACATCAGGTGCTGTAGGCATTCTAAATTAATAACAAATAATTATTTAAATGATTCAATGGAGATTCATCAGACTGGGATACTATAGTTAGAGAAAAACTGTTTGCTGGGGAAAGGGAATAGCAGAAACAGCACTGTCTCTTCATTTTTAACCAGAAAAGATGGCAAGCTCTCCTGCCGTGCAAGCTTACAGTCTTCCACCTACACAGCATATTTTCATTATGTGGTCTGAATTCAAGCTGAAAGCAAAAACAGTCAAGCAGTTATCAATGTCAGATGACCTTAAACTCAAATACACATATACTGCCAGACATAAAGTACTTGAGATGGCCTCTCTGCCTACAAGAGGATATGAATAATTTCTAAGAGACAACACACAGAGAAATTATACCTTGTGTGTTAGCTTATTTTTACGCAAAATTTCCACAGAAAGAAAAAAAAAAAATAATGGAAGTGAAAGATTAGTAATTCAAAGAGTTTCTTACTATTAATTTACTGCAAGAGTGGCCTGAGCATTACCTTCAGTGCTCATGTCTGGGGTTGGCATCCAGACATAGGCAATACCTTCCTCTTTATACAGTTTCATGAGAATTTCGGGGCTCATAGGTTCCGGATAGCGGTTGCATCCCCAGGAATTCTGAACAATGTCCCATTCGGTCTGGAAGTTCATCACAGCCGTAACACCCAGCTCGTGCTTCAGCTTGACGGTCACATGCTCCAGTTGCCGAGGGCAACTTCCCAGCCAGATGTTTGGCAGAATTCTAGCATGGAGAAAATATTGCAGTGGGATTGATTAAAATATCAACAAGGAAACTGCCAAGTTGAGTGGTGTTCTAGCTCCAAACCTGCTTAGCATCATCACACAAACACTGCTAAGCGCAGACTTTTCATGTCATGCAGTAAGCAGCTTCTTTTTTCATTACAGTTGAGTTGGTAACGTTTGATGCTGGGGATCAAGTTCCTAACCTACCACAGAGAGCCAGAAGGTCTGAGAAAAAATTCAGAGCATAATTAGTGGCACAGGTCTCCAAGGCATCCATCAGTAAGCTTGCAGTAGAAGCTTACTAACATCTCAGATTAGAATAAGAAAACTCTGAAGATTCATGCAATTTGCACAAAAGAGACCTAAAAGATTAATGTGATCCAGATCTGATTTACTTTAGTAATAAGTAAAATGCATAGAACTCTTCCAGCTTTGTAGCTACCACTATAATGAGGAAAGCAGACAGAAAAAAAAAAAAAAACAATTTAAACTACCCTTCTGTGAGAAAACTCAAAAAGGAATGAGTAATTTTCTTCTCATTTTTCTCTGCAGAATTACAATACATGTCTAGCTTCCCTCAAGGCCTGAAGAACCAGAAATTTTGCAAGAAAACTCGAGAGATATGTGTAGGCTAGATAAATATCCATATTTATGGTACTCACTTAAATCAAATTTCAAGACTTCTATGGTTTTCCCATTGTTAATTATCATAAAACAATTGTATGTCTCAACAGAAACTGACATAAATATAAACTGATTATTAAGAGGCTTGTTTTGAAATGAGGATTTTTAATCTGCACCTGCAATTAAACTGATGGTATCTACAATGGAATATTTACATGCACAAATTATTAGTGATCTACTTTATTTTTTTTCTGTTTGCATAAACTTCTATTTTGAACATGCAATCCACAAACTACACTAAATATACCTACAGTTGAGCAGACAACTTTGCAAACATTATTAACTGCAAAAAAAAAAATGATGCCAGTCTGCAACAAAAGCAAGATTCTCAAAAAGAAAATTTATTTTGTATGGTCTTTTCCAATTTTAATCTCATGGACAAATAAGAAAAATGTTATGTTTATTCAGGAGAAGTTACTCCTATAAGCAGCCCTTAAATAATCAGGTAGCTATTTCCATTCCATAATCGCAGTAATAAGCGGTTACTAGCATTTAATTAAGACTAGTAATTGACGATGATTAAACCTTGCTATGTTACTACTGAAAGATTTTCAAAAAGAAAAATTTAAATCCACAAAGGACTTACTGTTTCCTGTATTTCAGCTATATCCACAGTGAGTTACATACCAGCCACACAAACACAGTCTTTGGCTTTAACAGACCCTCTTTCAGTGAGACAACACACTTGATCTCAGTATGTGGTAAATGAGTCCAATTTAGACAAACACATTACATAGTAAATAGCCATTTCAACCATATTTCAACACTGAGATAGTTTGAAGAGATCTTAGTTGTTGTTTCACATTTAAGTTCTGGTCTAGATTGTGGTGAGTATATTTCCCACTGCTAACAGAAGATGCTTTTGTTCCTAAGCAGCAAGTAAGCTTTAATGAAAAATTTCCAAAATTAAGATTTCCTCTGTCACTTTTCTCACACTTCTGAACACTATCTTTATAAAGGAGAGAAGCCATAGAAAGAAAGAAGTCCTAATACACAGGCTCTGGATTTCTTAAGCTACAAATTAAATTCAGTTTATCTATTAAGAAATATCAATACTCAGTCAACAGTGGACTCCACAGCAACCTGAAGGAAATGCAGTAAAGCACAACAATTACGTATTGCCATTATGTTCAAGTCAAATTCCCACATACTGGTACCGGAAGGGAGCTTCTCAAAAATGCCCAAAATCCAGCATAACCAGCTCAAGCATTCCCGCAGACCAGCAAAGGTCCACAACAGTTGTTTCGCTGCCTCACTTCCCATGTGCCAGCCCCACAGCAAACCCCATCCTAACCTGAAAGAGTGACCGCTGTCACTCCTCTGCCACGGGAATCCGCCACAATGATTAGAGCATGTCGAGGTGGCAAATGTAAGCTAAAGTGTCCTGACACTGATGAATGGCTGAAGATGAGTAATGCCCACAAAACTCCACAGCGGGGGAAGAAAAATGGCAATATCACTAATACCTTGTGACAATATGAGGATATTCCTTCAAGAACAAGGACATTAGTATCTTTCCTTCAGAGGCTTTCCTGGAGACTCATATATATGTAATTATCTTGATATTTTGGGAAATATCTAATACAATAAGTTACCTTGAGAGGAGAGCAAAAGTCTGTTTCCTAGCATTTGATTGAATTGAGAGTGACTAAAGTGTTCCTGAGATAAATAAAATTCTGTGTACTACTCTTGCTTACAGATAAATCAATGCTTTATAATTTTTTCCCCAATGATTATTAAGTGGGCGAACGTCACAGCGGAGCTATCTGCAAGACCACTGGGATATACACCATTTGTTTATTTTGTTCTTGTAGCCTGAAAGGTCTTGTCCATGACAAGACCTCCTGTACTGCACAAAATAATTCACTGAATAATCTGATGGGTTTACCAAGTTTTTGTCACTGTATTTCCCTGTAATTAACCAGACTAGTGGCATTCAGAGAATGAGCAAAACAATGTATTTAGGACAGTCAATTCTGGTGGATTATTTTTCTGACCAGGTCCTATACAGTTTAGCTTTTGAGAGGATAAAGACGTAGCCTTGACTTTGGTCTTCAAGCCCCTTATTTACCCGGCTACAAATAACTGTAAAGTCTTGGTCTTGCTGGACAAGGCTTAACCACTCTTTTACCAGGAAAACAGTCCATACAGAAAACAGTATTGCAGAGTTGCCCTCTCAGCCAATTTATGTAAAAGTTCTGAGATAATCCTACTGCATAGTACTTGTATTTCCATTTGGCTTTATCTGGTTCATACCATGACTTTGTCTTACATCAGAAGGAAAGAATGACAGAGTCAATGCACATGTGAGTACAGAAACTGATGGAGAGTTTAGCAGCTATATTTTATATATTGATTTTTGATAGCCCCACTGAGGGCTTAATTATGCTGAGGACCAGGGAAACTTATACATTAAACATAGCAAGAATGTGGTAATTTCATTTTTTTCTCTTTCCTTAATAATATGACTTTCAGTTTTCCTTTTCCAACTCTTCTTTAAGTTGCCACTTCAGTAGGTAGCTAGATTTTAGCCACAAGAGTATTTGGCATAGCAAAGAGACCTCTTTTACTTTCCTCTCTCAACTGTTGTGCAATAGCACTGAGCTCTCCAACAGGTGCTGCCTTCTAGCTCTCAGGTGGTTGTTTTCCAGCAGCAGATTAAGTGATCTCTATGTACAGTTCAAAAAACATTTAGGGATTATGTGTGATCAATAAACATATAAACTTTTCAGCTGTTAATCCTTGTCATATTCCCCAAATATCACAACAGGATGGTGTTTTAACAAAATTCTATTTAGAATTCTGTTTTAATACAAAAATGGCACTTTGTCATCATACATGTTAAATCCCTGTGTTATTAAGGATAGTAAACCACGCTTGGTCCCAGAAGACATGGTCAATTCAGTCAGAGATAGTTTCTCGGTGAAGTCACCTAGAGTAACATAAAAAATACTCAGCTAACTTCTGAGATTAAGACTTGTAGATTGTCTAAAAGCCCTTTAATTAAAGCTACTTTCTGTAAAGTTACTTTCAGCCTGACCTACGCTTTAGTTCTCTATTAGTAATACGGCAATAATATTTACCTGCCTTAAGAGGACTTTTAGGAATTAAATGAATGAAAGAATGTGAGAAGCTTGAATCCGTGGTAACAAAGACTAAATGTTAGGCAGGTGTCTGCTCAGTTTACTTGATTTACAGAGCCCAGACTGAAGGCTGATGTGTTAAAAACCTGCCTTTTGACTTGTAAACTGAGAAATCAACAATAATTTATCATTAACAAGGAATAAATATGGAGCGTGCTGAAATCACTTGTATGGTTATTTTCCAGCTGTCATCACATTTAAATTATTTTTAATGATGCAGATATATACTGCACTTGGTTGCTTCCTCCCAGGACCCTGCACAGCCTAGATTAAATTATAACAATTCACTGTATATGCATCTGAAACAAGAAATGCATTCTGCTTAATCAATGCATATGCAAATAGTCTTCCCATCCTTAAGGAGAAAATGAGCCTGAGGCAATGAAAGATGAGCATTCTGATACTTTTTTTTTTTTTTTAATGGTGCAGACTGTAATTTTCAGGCTAGAGGAAATGTTCCCAAAGTGTGATACACTGTACCTTTCAGTCTTGGACCTCCACAGATGGTACAAAACCAACCCAGCAACTGTAGCTGTCGGGATCTGATTCACAGGGCGGGTGACCTGCCCTAGGGGAAGACACCAGGTTACTGCACTGGGCAGTCAACTCCTCCTCTTCAGCAAAGATGCCTGCACTGCTTCTTAACCAGCTCCTGTGTTACTTCTGTTGATAATGGTTTAAGGCAAATGGGCACCAATTCCCTTTAAAAGCTGAGCTGTAAGCTGCGATGACTCAGGTACTGTTTCCAGATATGTCAAATCATCAGTGTACTAGAAGCAGGAATCTTACAATCCCTCCTAAGGAGTCACAGTTCTTACAGAAAAGGGTAGGATTCAAGCCTTTCGGGAACACATTTTATCAGAACATCTTTAAGCCACAATATTTCAGGTGTCCTTTTATCCCTATAGTTGCCAGCTTTAATCAAGAAAGAGGACTTTGCCAAACTAAGGAAAAATACTAAGGTATTTTTCATTGGTTATTGGCAACAGAAGGATTCAACAACCATGTCATTTGTTTATATCGATAATATTTTTGACCAAATTCCAGTGTATTATTTTAAATGAAAAGTGATGGATTGGTTTATCCTTCAGTGCCGAGTAAAAATATAGCCTGATGTTAAATCTTACAATTCACTTCAGTTGTCTGCACCAGTCTTCCTTAGACCCGCTAA